TGAAATTCGCTGATAGTATTCTAATATCAAACACCAAATTATGCCTTTGTAATTACACATTATGGAATGTGACGGATCCCCCCAATCATCATTATGTTCATTTGACACTATTCAGCTCAACGTTGACAAATGCAGCACAGTTCGGTTGATCCTTCAACTCCTGTGTTTCCCGTAATCCTTTGCCTGTGTAACTGGTTGTTTTGTGTTAAAAAAATCCAACACCATGCTAGAATTGTTTCGTGATTAACATTTAAGTTATACTTCTTCAGAATAAAACACTAGTTTTGTGATTTATGGTATGTGTAAAGTGATTTGCTACTGATAATACAAGTGTTAATTGGGATAATACTTCGATCAAAATAAAGTTAACTACAGAAGCAGTTACTTCACTAAGGGAATCAAAGGAAGGCATACCCAATTTAAATTATCAGCCTTTATGAATGGGATCCAGGAAAATAAGATGTAATATGTCCCTTAAGAAAAACATAATATTGTGGGGATCATTTAACAAAGATTTATAAATCAATTCATTCTTTTATCACATTTATTAATCTCAATAATTTGAAACCCCTCCCTTGAGAATGAATCAGGTTATAAGGTATACCGGGAAGGTTTAGCATGTTTATACCTAAAATATTCAATGTTACAACGTAAACAAACTGCTTCTTCTGATACGTTACAATTTACTACAAATGAGCAGGCAGCGCGGAACATTGAATCTGGTTTAGACATCTTATTTCTCTTTAGCTTGAGGGTGTGATGGACGAGAATTTTTTAGACGATTGACAATTCACTCACTAACCTCAGGAAGAGACGGATTTATTAAGTTATTCAGCACGTTTATTTCTTAAAGAAAGCTGAATATGTTCTTATCGAACCATAAAATAATTTTCACATCATAAAAATTAAAACCATTTTTTTACTATTTACTATGGGTAAAAACTTTTTCGGCAGCAAAGAAAAAATATACTGGAGAGTTTTGAGATTAGCAATCTGCCATTCAATATATTTTTGTAATTGTATAACATTTACTTATAAAAGCCCTTAATTTTATTTCCCCAGAAGTACAGTTGTAATAAAACAAAACTCGAATATACACTGTACTCTGAACAAGGAACTCTAAATTCAGAAATATTTTTGTTTTGCCAGCAAGTCTTCGCACTCAAGCTTATGAAAAAACTTTTGTTTCTGTCAACCTTGATTGATCTGTGTTTGAGACTTTTTCCGTCAAAACTTTCGTTTCTATTGTGTCACCCATTCTGTCTTTTAAGTTTGACCAATACGAAATTATAAAAAAATGTTATCTAACTAACTGCCGACAAAAATCATGTATAAGAATTTAAAAAGGTAATTTCTCATAAGGTGGACAATTTTAATATTATATCCAAAACTAGAAACTACTTTAGTTTTATTTACCGATAGCGAAATAAGCTTAAGCACTGCTTTTGTAATAAAAGAATGTCACCATAACTTATGATTTCCTTGGAAAAGGTAAAACAATTTGCGAAACAATTCCTTTTTCCTAAAAAATATTTACTTTTACATTAAACATTTTATAATTTTAAATTTAAATTTATTAACTTTCGTCTGAACTGTTTGCAACCGGAAGACTGCTAAACCGGAAATTAAACCTTGTTTAGTCCACCAACACCGCTCTTATTACTCCATGAAACGTCTAGTATATGTCCCTGTATACAGTATTGGTCTCACTCACTAAGGGAAATTTAAAAGTCAAACGTTACTTGGTTACATCATAAACCTTTTAGTAACTTAAATTGGTAAAAAAAAAACAATTTTGTTGTAACTTGGTTAATTTTTCTCCGTGTTAAGTTTGTTTTCATATTTTCCAGTTCTTGTTCACTTCTTTGTTCGACTGGTTAAGTTTGTGTGGTTAAGTTTCTTTAACGTGGCTGATTGTCCATCTATGTACATTGTACAACTCTCATTAGCATAGATCGTTGTAACCTACTTAGTTCAAACCAAACGCTTGTTTCTAAAAGGCAAGACTCTGTATTTTCAGTAATGTTATTAATCCAAAGTAAAATTTTGTTTAATATTATTGTCAATAGTTTTTATGTCGGTTAATTTGTCAATAACAGTTTTGTGTCTATTAGTTGACTTTTTTGCTACAAAGTCGTAGACAAAATGGTCGAATCTCACGAGTACAAAGCTTTCCGTCAAACAATTTGTACAAAATTATTGTCCGAGTTTCCATATTTCTCTTTTGAGTTATTGTCGCAATTTGGGAAGGAAGAAACTCGTTCTTGGAATGTCCGTACATTTGTACATCTCCAACCAACTTTACATTTGCTCAATTGGTGTTTCCTTCAACGCTCAAGGAATATATTTTCAAATATAGTACAATTCTATTCAAATTTTGTTTTGTGTTCCAATAATATGAACTAAATTCAAAACTTTTGCATAAAATTAATTTTCGTCATTAATATAATTTGTGTGAAAATAAGTTTGTGCAATGAAAAAAACTCTTAACACGAGTTGAAAATTAAAACTCACGTTAAGAATATACTAGCTGACCCGTGCGAAGCATTCGCGCTGAATCCTTCTCAAATTCCACTTATTGAGGTACACAACATACATTTAATTCTGTGTGGTAAGTGCATCATTAAGCATGGGTCCTTACTTAAGGAGTCTACATTTTAGATAGTTAACCTTTTCAAAATGTAATGTTAAGTTATTTACGTTTTTACATGTTTACAGGACCTATTTGAACACTATTGAAATAGTAATTTGGCCATAAACGATATTTTGATTTTACACAGACGTAGTTTTCACTGAAAAAGTGCACCCTTGACAAAGTCACAAAAACTGAATGTGTAAAAAACAGGTTCTGGTACTTGCAATACTTCATTCATTAGCGTCTGTCCATGTGCCTTATTTAAAGTCATTGCAAAGGTAACTTTTATGGGAAATTCCTTCATAGTCAGTTTGAAAGAATTGCGGACTATTGCGTAGTATGGCAGTTTGACCGGAATCAGCCAACTTTGCTTTGATAGTGTATGTGCTCAAGTGAGCTACAACCAATCTTGGATTATGCTTAGGTTTCTCAACAACATGATAATTGAGTTCTTTTTAGAATGGGTTTATGAGGTAACTAATTCCTAACGAAATTAATTAGGTAACGAAACTATAACGGCTTAATGGGTTCAAAACAACTCCAATGGATACAACAGAACGTTCTACGTCCCTTGGTAAAGAACAAGAACCTAATTAAAACTGATATTTTTTTAAACCGTTTCCTGTTGGTAACAAATTCGACAACACGTAACCATTCATTGAAACCTGTAGTAAAGAAAAGATAAGAGGTGTTATTGAATCCTTCAAATTTTGAAGATGGAATTCTTGAATATTCATAGCATGGTTGGGAGGTATGTCAAAATGAAGGCCATGTCGTGCATAAAGAAATATAAAAGCTAAAGAATCCATGCGGTACTTACCTTTGAGTTGTTCTTGTTTAGACTTCTATAAAGTGAATACACAGGTTTCATTTCCGGGGTTATTTATTCGTATAAAGCACAGACCACGCACAGACTAAGTTTTTTTTTAACATTCTGATTTGAGAAATAAATATTCGTTTGTTTTGATTAATTTAATTCGAATATGTTTCAGCTGATCCAATAATTCATTCGTAAATTTCATCAAAATCGGACAAAAATTACTCAAGTTTTCGCGTTCACGGACGTATATATACATATATAAATTTGAACGAATGGTGTTTTTGGCCTCTGGGGATATCAAAATGAAAAAGTAAATCGGTCCCGGGCCTAGGTCTTACCGTGCCACCTACAGTAATAGCCACTTCCCTACAGGGAAATTCGCTAAAAATAGTTAATCAAAATCACCGTACTCAAAAATAACCATCAAGAAACACACCCAAAAGATCATCAAATATTTCAACAGATAAATAAACGTTTTCTTTAAATGGACGACCAACTTATTCCTTTGCAAACGTCAGCAACACGGTGATATTGGAGAAAATGTCTCATTTTTATTCAACTGTCATCCGAACGTTGGGTGGGCACGACTATCTAGGTGTAAACAGGATGACTTTGCAAACTTACAAATGAGTGGTTCGTAGCAACCAAGCGAAGTACTTTAGTTTTATTTGACCCAAAGTCAATGAATACTTAGCTAAAGTAACTTTATCTTAGCATATTTCATAGCTACCAACTATTTCCTCGAGAGATTCTAAAAGTTCAAAACTTTTACGTCTGTATATAGGTAGCATAATGGTAAATCGATTTCAGCTAGGTTTTTGGACATCATAATAAGAGTAGTACAGTTTTACTTTGACCGTAAAACACTATAGACAAGAACATTGTATTGAATCTATACCTATAAAAGAGGAAGTATGAATGTAGGGCCTATATATGTATGTATGTACCCTATGGACTCCGAAACCGCTCGACAGATTGTAATGAAGTTTGGTATAAACTATTTGCCTAAGAAGTATGGAATTTTATTTCCATTCATTGCGAGTAATTGAAAGTCCTGCTACATTTTTCATCCTTATGAATCTGAAGACAATTTTAAAGTACCTATTGGTGTGTATGTACCGGTAGTATATCTAGACTTGAGTGTGTTACTACTTTAATTACATTTCATCGACTTAGCTATAAATTTATAAACTTCTGCTCACTATCCGGTGTTATAAGCAAAGAGAAAAGCTAACACAATATCATAGTAACTTAAATCATAAACAAGACAAGAGTATGCTGTCGACATCTACGCAAAAGTAATCTAACATTACAGTAAATTGCATTGCATTTCAACGAGCGTCACATTTTGCAATATAATTTTAAAACTAAAATCTGTATCCAAAGTCAATATTATTACATTTCATACTTTCCAAACCGAGTTACCATAGATTAAACATACTCGGTGTTACTCCGACCGCGGATGTTTAACCAACTGCAATCAAAACATTTACTCTATGGCATACACTAAAACGAACCAAACGAACTCAAAACATATGAGTTAAACAACAATATTAAACCACATCAAAATCTGAAAATTTACAAATTATATTCAACCTTAAAAATTCAACCTTCGTAATGCATTCGAACTACAACGAGATGAGACTTAATGGACAACTCTGCGACGGCGTTATCAAGACTTCAGATGGAGGAAGATTTTTAGTCCACAGAGTGGTGTTGGGCGCCTTCAGTCCGTACTTCAGGGCCTACTTCACCAACAGTCTGGGCCAAGAGGGTCGGGAGATAGGAGAAATGACTATAGACGACGAACCAAAGGACATCGTCGCCGCCATTGTGGAGTGCGCCTACACCGGGACATGCGCGGTGAACGTACACAACGCGCAAGCGCTCATGGTGGCCGCGGACAGGTTCTCGTGCGAATCTCTAGTCAAACATTGCGCAGAATTCATCGGGAAACAAATCAGCTTTGATAACTTTGCCAGCATGCTCAGATTTGCCAGGAACTACTTGTTTCGGGATCTTGAGGTGAGGGAATTAAACTAGGATTTAAAATAAGTCATCTTGTTGAGTGACTCAGATGAAGACACTAAAAAGATAAGACGTTATTATTTTAGAGTTCTTTTTCTTAATTCGTTTTGTAAGAGGTTAGTGTCAGTTTGGAGAAGGATTTTACTTACCATGTTACTTTCACAATCATCCAGTGTGATAGCATTTTGTCAAAAAGTAATATGCTTAATCCTAACTTTAGTATTGACTTAGTAAAGTAAAATATAAAAATCATCTATAACACACTTTATCTAGGATTATGGTAACCTACTTCTACTTGTTACCCTGAAAGTTTACGGAGCTCTTTTGTGTGCAGCGTAGATTATTCTATGAGTGCAGGAAATTATGGTCCTGGTAATGCTAATATTTACCAACTACCTGAACACCCAAATAGGAATATATACATTGAGGGATATTTATAAATACCCCCGGCACAGCACACCTACAGACTAAGCTATACATGAATATGAACGGATGGTGGTTTTAGCCTATGAGGACATCATAACTCCTTAGACTTCACTTAAAAAAGTAAAGCGGTCCTGGGTCTAGGTGTAAAAGAGACCTTCGGTAAAAGCTTATTTCTTCATGGGAAATTCATAGGTATTTTTAACATTGAAAACCATTCATGGTGAAATAATGCGATTTAACTTTTTTTACAGGTGAAGGTGTGGCAGTTTGGATGGGATCAGATGGAGGAGCTCATGAATTCTTCTGAGTTTCTCACCCTGACTGCTGACGAGCTTAGTGAGCTTCTCAGTGCAGACGAGCTCAACGTAAAACAGGAGGAGGTAAAAGTTTTGTTTTGTCAACTGAAAACCACACGTGGCAAAGTTACAATTAGATAGTTTTTTTTTTTTTTTTTTACTTAAAACTGAAATATTGGCCTGAAGATATCTAATATCAAGTTTGAGTTTTGAAGAGATTCTTAACACACACACAACACTTCAAAACTTTTTTCAATCAATCTTATAAGGCACCAAAACAAATACCGGTATTTTCAACCAAAAATTTGAAAACTTTGCAAAATGATACTTTCTCTAGAAGACATTATCACTTCTTTTACTCTTGAACACATTATTAAATTTCTGAAAAGAATTCATTGCTCTTATAGACTGGTTTTTAAAAACATTGATTGGGCATACTCTACAACATAAATACAATTTTGATTTAACTCTTCATTTTAGTAGATTACTTTGTTCTCAGGTAGTTTTTGAAGCAATCGATCGCTGGATTCGAAACGACCCAGAGTCAAGACGTCATAACCTTGCTCAACTCCTGAGATCCATCCGCTTTGCCCTTTTGTCTGGGGAATTCTACAATCAGCGAATCAAAAACTACCCTTACAACACCGAGGTAATGAGAAAGTACCATTGAAACTTTCACCAATTACTTGCTTTTCTGTAACAGAGTGAAAGTATCAATTAGTTGCTCTCATCTTTTACTACTTCTGAAAGCAACAGGAGATCCTGCAGAATCTTAAACATGAAATGGATTTACGCATGTAACCAAAAAATACCACAGTAAACTTGCAGACCAAGTAATAATAGTTGATTTATTGAGGACTAGCTGTTGTACCCGTGCTTTGCAACGGGAAGAAAACACATAATAGAAACATTTTAATCTTTACATCTGTTGCGTATAATAGTTACACATCCACCAAGGCTTTTAGAAACAAAATTCAACTTTCATGGCCTTAATAGAAACGTTTAAGTTATAATATATTTAATTTCATTAGATCAGCTGTCTTAAATTGTAAAATATGCAATTTGACAGTTTTTGTTTATTTTGAAATGTCAAAGCAAATGTAAACATTGTGAGTATTCTCATTGCAGCCATGGTGACCAATCAATATTTACTTTTAAAATCCTCACCTCAGAACTTTTAAAGCCAAAGGGGCAAAGCCCACAGGCAGTATTGAAGTGTGAATAGTCCTATAATGGTCCTTGGTATGGTAACTATATTTTTGTAAAATTTAAGCCAGGTTGTTTCAGTAGTTGTCGCACCTATTAGTAATACACATACAGACAGACACCATTAGATTTTTATATAATAGTATAGATTTAAGCCAGGTTGTTTCAGTAGTTGTCGCACCTATTAGTAATACACATACAGACAGACACCATTAGATTTTTATATAATAGTATAGATTCGTTCGAAAAGGTTCTAAACAAAAGAAAATTGAAACGGTGGGTATTATGATGAGCCGGCCTTATTCATGTGCAAGAGGTGCAGCATAGGGCTCCGCACCTCGTCTTGAATGAAAATTTAAAAAAAAATTTAAATCCTTTATCTATACGTCAATTTTGTCAGTTATGAAGTAAAAAGGGGGAAGTATCATAATATTATACATTGGGTTTTTATTATTTAGTTGTTGGATACCTATTACTTTTTTGGTAGTAGGTGGCCCCATTTTGAATGTTTACACCACCCAAGGCCATAGCTCTGCCAGTAATACATCATAGGTTCAGAGATTCCAGTACATTCTTAGGTTTGCTGCTATGAGGGTTGTAATAAACTTATTTTTCTCATTATATGGATAACATAAGATGTAAGACTTTATAGTATTTTATCACTGAAAAATAGGCATAGAATAAAATGTTTTCACAAAACAATAATTTATTCAATGAAAACATGTAGGCGTACAGAAATATTTTTGTTTTAATATCATTTTTCAAAACACCCGATTCACAGGAGAGTCTAGACTTGCTGCTGACGATTGACACTCTGTTCGACAGTGAAAACGACTCGTTTTACTTCTACTGCCATCACAGGCCGAGGATACCAAACGAGGTTGTCTTCACCATTGGCGGTTGGTCGGACGGATATCCTACAGATGCTATTGAAACGTATGACAAAAGGTTGGTAATTTGGCCCATGGAATGACTATTATGATTTCTACTATTACTACTATAAGTCTGCTAGTATTTTTACTATTTTTTTTATTTCAGTAGAGCCCTACAAATTTGTCAACCAGTGGATAGTTAGTTAGTTTAGAAAAGCTGATGACTCTGGAAAGTGAAAGTGTTGTTTATTAAAGATCAGTAATATTCCTCTCCTGCAAAAAGATATATCTGTACTAAAAATATTCCTTACACCGTGTTGATGATAAAAGGAATCGTCAACAATTTGTAATCAGGAAGACAAATTTTTGTATTGATTTTCAGGTGGTCAGTTAATTGCACTAACCTTAAACTATTGCACAGCAGGGCAAAAAAATTTTCCATTGATTGTCCTTTCCCACTCAGATGGTCAAAGCTACTGGTGGTTATGGAAATACTTTCAAGCTCGAAAGGACACACCCTTTTGTCAAAAAACCTTGACCGTTTTACTACAAAATGATGTTTGTTTTGACGATTGTGGTGATACCTAAGTAAGAAATGTTAGCACTAAAATTATTCTCAGCTGGTAGGAAGAAGCTGTCATGATGGCTGCTGAGCTGATCTCAAGAGAAAGCACATTTTAGCAGCGGAGACAGCAGTTGAAAAATTTAACAAATTAGGAAACAGGGTAAACTGAACGCTATAATTCAGTCCAATATTTTTCAGATCAGACAGTTGGTACTTGTCGCACATGAAGGACCAGAAGATCAGGGCGTACCACGGTGTGGTCGTGTTGGACAAACTGATCTACATCATCGGGGGGTTCAACGGTTCCGAGTACTTCAGCACGATGCACTGCTACGACCCGGTCACATACAAGTGGACTGAGAAGGCATGCATGCACGATGTACGCTGTTACATAAGCGTGGCTACTCTTGGTAAGCTGTGGACGAGTTTATAAGGGTGCGCTCTACCTCAGCTCGGGCTTCAGGAGCTATGTTGCGCCATTGAACAGTGCCGTGAGAAGTGCTTGCAAACGTTTAAGTTCTGTCAAATTACTCAGTTGACTTATACATTTTTTTTCATCTGAAGAAGGTTCCTTACTCCTTGGATTCCAATTTATGACTCTATCGTTTCAATTTTCTTCTGAAAATTCATTTGTATGTGTATTATGCTTTAGAAAAAGCTTATTTTATAAGTATTTACCATTCACTTCCCACTTAAAATTCTACTATTATCAAAAAATTCAAACGATACAAGCCTACAAAAATAAGTAATGAATAAATTAACATAAATATATTTTCAATCGACTAAGAACTGAGACGACAATGACGGAGATCCTAAATTCTTACATTAGCAAGCGGCGCTAAAACTGGATGATGATTTTTTTAAATATTAGACCGGTGCCAATGAGGATAGGGACACAGCTGGGTGTATTTGAACACAAATATGAGCAAATTTTGTTTACATGATTGACAAAGACGCATTTTGTAACCTTGAAACTGACAAAGGACAGAGGTTTTAGCCAGGACCATTTATTGCCCAATGATCAAAGACAGGGGTTTAGTTGTCATATACACAGAATAATATGCGCCGATAACAGGCAAAAGCTATTTACTTTTATATAGACGGCGTGTGTGGTTAGTTCACAAATTAAGTGTTGATGTCGCTTATTTTTACAGTACAAATAAATATTTAAAAGTGGTTGTACTGGTTGTGACTAAGATTCATCTAAATCTTTTTATACTAAGTGGTAGAAAATAAGCTACGCAAAGCTACGACTCTTATGACAACTTATAATTATAAATTAGTGGTTATAATGGTTATAAAAAAACATTGTAGACATTTTTCCTAGGCTTACCATAGTCGCATGTACAGGTGGTGAGATCTACGCCATCGGAGGGTACAACGGCCGCACTAGGCTAAACACTGCGGAGAAATACAACCCATTGATCAATCAGTGGACCATGATAGCACCCCTGAACAAGATCAGATCCGATGCCAGCGCCGCTTCTCTGTTCGGGAAGGTGAGGAACATTCCTTCTGGTGACTTTTAGTCTACTAGGATTCAACATCACTTATGTTGTTTATAAATTAATTGATTTAAGTGTGTTGTCGATAACAAAGACGCAATTGTCATTTGACTCTGTTTATTGCATTTGTATGTCTAACTCCAGTGGCATCCTTTGAAACTTTAAGTCAATCCTGTCAGTACTCAGGCAAAGATTAGTGTCGAGTCACTTTACATCACTGTATTAGCTATCCACGATGGGAAGGCATCGAGAAATATTTTAACCTGAATGTAAATGAAGGTGTTTGAAATCGGCAAGATGCATTGATAAACTTTATTACTGACTAAAACTGAGTTCTTTAGTCTGGACCACTTTCTTTTTTCACCAAGGACAGCTGATTTCAAACTCACACCATTTTAAAATCCATTGTCTGTTCTCGGGGATCGAACCAGCTAACCTTCTGATTACTACTCAGCTATATTCACAGCCACCTGCATATTACTCATGCAATTATAGAGTTTAATTTATAGCCTCAGAAACAAGTCACAGCTTGTTTATTTTATTCTGTTTGATACGTATAGATAATATTGCTATTACTATACCACTTCAGTTTTCTAGTTTTACAATTCAACTGAGTTATTTTGAAAAGTGTTCTGTCTTTTTTTACTAACTTCTGATGGCTTTGACTTTCTCGGATCCATAAAAAATTCCATCTCGAAGGGTCCAAAATGAAGGAAGTATATTGTACTGTAAAGATCTCAAACGCAATGCAATTAAAAAATTTCAAATGTCTCTTCTTAAACACATTTAAAGTTCTATATTGAATAAAGTAACTATGTTGCCAAGATTACCTACGTTAGTTTCCTTGGTCCCAGATTTACGTGGCTGGAGGGTTTGATGGAGGCGAGGTGATGCGCTCAGCGGAAGTCTACACTCCGGAAAGCGACAGCTGGCTCTTCGTAGACTACATGACAGTGCCTCGGTCAGGTGTTAATCTCATCTCTCACGGAAGCTATATCTACGCTCTCGGGGGATACGATGGAGTTAACAGACTTTACTCATGTGTGTTCAGATACAATCATTGTTTAATGATTTAAGTTTTATCTTCATATTAAGTTTTATTAAATAATATTTTACACTAGCAAAACCTTTGACTATTGATGGGAGTATACTTCAGCTATCAGAGTGTACAATAAAGTTAAACGTATTGCATTATATAATTATCCAGAACTCTGTTCTCTCAAAGATTAAATAATAGTTCTTGAACAATTTAAAGAAGGAATACATAAACAAGGTATTCCTTTAAAACAATAATTTAAAGACGTTGAATTTCTTAGCGATATTTTATTACAGAATACCCAATCTAGTTTAAATTCAAGAACAATCATCAGTGGCCATCAAATCAAAGAAATTATATTTTAATTATTTTCAACTGATAAAAAAAGATAGTTATAAATACTGCTCTAAAAAGAATTAAACTCCCCAAAAACCTCTTGAGCTAAGTATCCATGAACCTCAATAAGATTAACAATTATTATAGAGAAAGTATAAAATATATTTTCTTAAGATAAAGTACTTTTAAAAGCTTACGATTGAATAAAAATCGATAATTTTAATTTTATTGCACCTGACAGGTGAACGTTACAACCCGGTCTACAACAGATGGGACCAGATAGCAGACATGCAGAATCCGAGAAGTAACCTGTCCAGTGTCATAGTGGACAATTCAATTCTTGTCATCGGTGGCTTTGATGGTAATTATAATTAGAATTTTAAAATATACTTATGATTTTTGTTGATTTGATGGGAATTGTTTACACGAATAGTTTTAAAAAAGATTTTTTTTTTCAGATGAGTTTCTAAAGCGCTGTAATTGTTCTAATTGGTTTGAAATTTGCTTACAAAAATTTTGTTATTTGGTCAATCGCCCTAAATATCCTTTAAAATTCTGAAAGGCAGTTTATGCACTGATAACTGTGAACACCCAAAACACCCTAAGCCAAAAAGGACGATGAGATGGTTGAGGATGGCGGCATTATAAGTACAAATAGATGAGATGGGGAAGAGCAGAAATCTTGGGGCAGAATCTCATTTCAGTTGAGCTATTCATCTATATCTATAAAAGAGGAACTATGTATGTATATATATATACATATATGTATATATATATATATGCATATATATATATATGTGTGTGTGTGTGTATATACGTTATGGACTCCGAAACCGCTCGACAGATTGTAATGAAACTTTCAGGCATTATTAAGCATTTTTCAAGGATGGTTCGAGTGAAGTTTGGTGCAGATCCGTCAAAAGGGCTCTGCCCCAGAGGGTTTTAAGTGGGCCAATGTCAGAATTTTTTATCTACAATGTTTACAAATAAATATAATTTAAAAGCGAACGATTTCCAACCTGAAGGTGAGTGAGCGTAGCGAATGAACTTCAACCAGGACGTGATTGAGCCATGCGAATACTTATGAAGTTAAGCGGGGCAAAGCCCGCGGGTACAGCTAGTAGTTTATGGATGGTGATTGTCTTTTCCTAAAATGTAGACTGGAATCTTGAGAACAACACTTCACAAATACCAATGATATGAAAGAAATTAATTTTGTGAAAATTTTTTATAGGAAGGAAAATCCAACTGGGTGGGAAAGGTAATTAAGACATATAATGAGCAAGAATCTACTTAACAGAGATACATTGCCTCATATTCAGGAGTAGAGGTAAAAATGCCAACTATCTAAAGCAACAGCACTCCTGGATACAAGCAAACTATCGACCATAGTACCATAGTTGTTGTTGTTGGTAATGTTGTTGTGGCAACCAAAAATTGTACGTTTTACTCTCAATGTCTTTGCATGGATTTTTGTTGGGTTCTTCAAAATTAACTAACATATTAGGAGCAGAAATCTTGCAATTACCAAACAACAAATGAGACTCGTGACAAAAATGCTCATACCCAAATAATTCTAAAATAAAAAGGGTTAATAAATCGTTAGGCCAGGCGCAAACAGGCGATTTTGAGTCACGCAACAGTTGCCCGACTAAAATGTTCAACATTGTTTTAAATTGGAGTGCGCACACGAAGAAAACAGTCTGGTGACAGTCGCGCAACTGTTGCAACCGATGTTCCCGGACCCAATTTGCCAGCGACTGCTCTGCGACTGAATTGTTGCGGGACTATCGCTCCAGGTTTGGTATCCATTGAAACGAGTGTAGTTGCGCACACATGCAACTAAATAGTCGCTGTGTCGCTCAGTCTCACCCCAGTAGTTCAACTACTCGTGGCCAGAACTGTCACTAGTGTTTGCTCACTTGTTGTGTGTGTGAAGTTTTTAGAAAATTACAAGTATGAGTTTGCGTGATGAGGATGTCGATCAATTAATTGATGAAGTTGAGAAGAGGTTGATACGAAGTGTCTCACAAGTCTTCTTGAATATTTGAAAAACTTCTCTGGGTGTTCTCTTAAGTCATTGTACAAAATGGAACTGTCCTTTCACAAGTCGCTCACTATATATGGGATGAACCCAGTATCTTCTCTTTTTCTTTCGCGCGCGAAACTTCAGCAACAAAGCACATACTATGGCTGTATCATTGAAATCCATTCGGAACGATGTAACGAATGTGTTTCCAACACGTCTCAAGACTAGATTCACGACTAAAAAGTTGCCTGTGTGCGCACTCCAGCTCAACTGTCGCTAGACTTCAGAGTCTCCGAGTGAGTCGCGCAACAGTCCCCCGATTAGTCGGGCAACTGTTGCGCGACTCAAAATCGCCTGTGTGCGCCTGGCCTTAATAAGCAAAACTTGTCCCAGCTCGTACCAAATAAGTTCTGTTCTAGGTACCTCCACAGTGGCTTGTACGGAGTTTTACAACCAGGAGGAAGACAAGTGGTTTGAAAGCGCGTCTATGAACATCAACAAATCGGCGCTAGCAGCGTGCGTGGTCCGAGGTCTGCCCAACGCAAAGAGCTACACATTCCTGGGTATCGGAGTCGACCCTGCAGTGGAGTCAGCCGGTGGTGAGTGGATTGTGTAAGCACCCACCATTGTTTCTGTTATATTTTCACATTCTAGTTAGAATTATAAGGAAGAAATACAAACGTATACAAAATTGGTTGCGTTTTAGCACAGATTCCAAATGAAGGATGTAGTTAAGTCCTGCAAACTTGCACCCAATGATACAACCTGGTTTTCTTTGCGAATCGGAAAAAGATTTGATTAAGATTATGTTAGATTACCTTAGACTAATCTTTGACACACCAGGTGTGTATTTTGAGACGAAGATGAGTGTTTGAATGATTTGATAGCTTTGTTACCAAGATCAGCTGTTTATTCAGCCAGGAGTCCAATGGCCACTTTGGTCGGTTTCGCAGAAGCCTACACTGGTGTTAATTAAGACTTTAATCTGATAACAAACTAGACCTAAGCTGCTGTATAAGAATTTTGTCTGACTCCTAGTGGGCACATCCCTTCAGAGGTAAAATAGTATATTTCGTACCTAGGGCCCAAAATGAGGTTTTGCCGGCTAGATTAGTTTTTAAGTTCGAGACAAAGTCGAGAACTTAAAACGATCGAGAGCTGCAAAACCATTTCCGTCCGTGGTACGAATGCTATTTTTCACCACACTATACCCTATTACCACTATTCACCACAATAATAATGCACACTGATAGCATTGACTTTATATCTCTACACTCTACACATTGACTTTATATCTGTGTAGAGATATAAAGTCAATGCTGATAGTCAACACAACCTTAACTTTAAGGTTATGTGAAGAAATAATTTGAGGAATCAGCAAAAAAAATTATAAATAGTTGCTAGGCAGCGGTGACAATAAAACAAATGTATTGCAAAGCTATGGATACTGATTATGTATTTAATATGCAATCATGTTTTAAGAAAGTAAGCGGGCAGCTGATTTTGCGCCCTAGGGATGTAAAAACCTGCTCGGTCTCCAAATAACGATGACAGCTGGCATGGCCAGCAAAACGTAACTTTCAGCCACCAATTAATGTATATAAACCGCTAAAAACATCATAGTGTGGTGAAAAAACATATATGGTATTACACCGTTCGGGGTTTTTCCAATCACACTGTATATATCCAAAAAGGTATACATTCATGAAATTGTAGGTACTTGTAGTATTCGTAAATTTATTTTGTTCTCTTCTTTAATAAACTTAATTTATACCTAACTCATTTATAAAAAATTATAAATGCACTAATCTCTAATTTTACCTCCAACATTTAACAGACAATGAATTGTAATAATCCGTGTTTTATTTGTTCCAGGATCAAAATGTGACTAAGGAGCTGCTTTTCCCAAAAAAAGACTAAAAATTCCTCCCAATATACATCATTGTTTGTGATATATTTAATTTAAATTCCATAGCAAATAAGTACTTCTGTAAGTGCTGTAGACAAAAACATCATTTTCCCCAAATGTTATAGTAGTTCAAAATTATTCTTATTAGTAGACATCAGTAGAAATTATGTATACTGTTAATATAATTAATATAAGAAATTTAAAATCTGTAAAAAATAGAATTTCTACACTTGTATACTAGTAATATTTTAATGAAATATATGCAATTGTTTACCATTTTTGTTTTCCTTCTAACTAGATTTTCATTTGAAATACAGTTGGAATTATGTAGCCTACAAAAAATGTGAAATGTGTTGGGTCCAAAACATGATATTAATGGTTTTGTGTATGTTTATAATTTTTTTTTTTTTTCAAGCAGAAAAGAATGGCTCATACAAATGTTTGACTAACCAACGCCAAGCACAGCATTAACTCTCTATGATTTTGCAACTTTGAATCTTCATTATTCTGAAATTCAATATACTAACTGGGACACCTAGCGGTTTTTGTAATATCTACTAAAAGATCTTCAATTTGGTCCACAAATAGTAAATAAAATGAAAAGATGATTAAATCTTTACCCTATCCCATTAATATAATTTTTATTGGAAATACAGGCGACTTTAAGAATGTAAAATGCATAACAGAATTATAAAAATTGTTTTTTATTATCTGTTATAAAAAATCTATATAAAGGATATAAAACATTTTGTAGCTTACACAAATATTAATGACACTAAAAATAAACTATCTTAGTGATTTTCAACAATAAATAATAGACTTTTTAACTTAACAGCAAACAAAATAAGAGAAAAAGTACTCTTGCAAACCTAATTCATGCAAATTTACAAAAAATCTGCGAGAAGCACTTACAGTGTGAAACTATTTACTGGAACTTGAAATAAATTGTAATACTACAAAAAAATAGGTTTACAATATTCTCAAAGATAATCATTAAAGGCAAGTTGTATCTACACTGTTGCATTGTTAGTTAATTTATTGACCAACGCACTTCTACAATTTATCCACGCAGTCTCTATCACATCAATATTAATAATATACACAAAGTATCAACGTTTATGATTTCACGTTTATTTTTAAGATAAATCTATGTTTGGCTACGGCCACACGGGCGTTTTTTCACGCAAGAACGCAGCGTGAAAAAACGTGAGAAATATGGGCAGCATTAAATGTAATGAGGTATGCCACACGGAGTGTGTTTTCACGCAGATTTGGCGCGTCTTCAAAATCGACCGCTGCGGGCCCGCAGAAGAATGGACTGTGGTGCATTTTTGAAGCTTGTTTTCACGCTCTGTCCCTGGCCACACGGGCGGGAGCAACACGCAGCTTTGATCAAGTCGTCCTGGCAAGTTAAAATAAATATAAATGTATCTAATTTTGTCCAGGATAGCGTAAAATATTTTTGGGTTTAGTCAATTACACAGTAGACCTACACGTTTTATCTTAAACATAGGTCGACCTTACTGGACCACTTAATAATTTGTTACTAAAAGGAAAGGCATTTAGTTGGACTAAAAAATGTAAAGAGGCATTTATGTAGTAGAATATTCAAAGATCTGATGAAAGTCTTGTCATAAAAATATTTATATTATTTTTTTTTTATAAATGTCAAAATCAAATAATTGTAGTGTTGTTTTCGTATCGAAATTAATATAGGGTGAACGGTACAGTTGTTGGCAGGGGTACAGTAGTTGTCACCTTTTTACTATATTCCTTATAATAAGAGAACTACTTACTCTATGGAGGAAACAGATAATTCTCGCCATTGCCAAAAGGGTGCAGCACGAGTTCTCTTAGTGGATGACAGCAAGCATCTTCCCCCCACGTGCTGGGAATAATTCTCGAGAAGGTAGGTAGTAGTTTACAGTTCCTTTTATGCATTTGTTTAGAAACATGATGTTTAAAATTCCTTTAAACAACGGCAAAAATCAAAGACATTTTACATTCCACTGATTTTTTTTAACATTAAACTTTATTGGTTCATTTTAGGTTATGTTTTGTAACATAACCTTAAAAACTTTGATCTTAAGGGGGGGTGCCAATAACTAAACCAAATAAGTAATGATGTTATAGTAGTTGGCACTCGTGTGCCAATAACTGTACCTCTCTGAAAACCATGTGTTTTAGTTGTTGGCATGGTTAATATTTTAATTTAAATATATTATAAAATAATGAATAATTTTAAAATAATGATTAATGCTGCATATGTTACTTTTTCAGCTGTCAAAATTGTAATTTTGAAATACCCGTTTAATTTGTTATGTATGTTTTATAGCTATTTAGAATTATTATGTCCAACATTCTAAATCTTTCTAAGAAACCTTCTTTATAAAATATATAGTTACACAAATTTTATGTAATTTAGACCAATTATTTCACAATTTAAGACCCAGAAAAGTCTTTAGTGAGTAATTTTATTTCAGGTTTGTGGCCAACACCTCCAAAATGGCCCACTTCCAGGGGGTGCCAATAACTGTAACATAAAACTTCACTGTTTCAATTGTTGGCATAAAGATGCCAACGACTGAAACATGCTTTGGTAAGGTGATTTCAATTGTTGGCATATTAAATATTTTTGATTTTGGGAATTAAAAAGTCCCATTTAGGTCCACTATAAATTTTAGATAGCCGAGTGATTGGTTTGGTTTTCTTTTGTTTAAGAAAAAATAGTTTGGGACCAATCAAAATGCCAGCGAAAAAATATAACGAGGCAGATCTAGATGCTGCAGTTAGCGAAGTAAGAAGAGGAGCCTTATCAAAAAAAGCAGCCTCGATTAAATATAAAGTACCTCGATCCACTATTCAGTTTCGTTTGAGTAACAAATTTGTAAAGAAAGAAAAAGGACCTGATACAATTTTAAGTAAAGAAGAAGAAGGGGTTTTAGTTAAGTGGATAAATGAATGCTGCAGGAAAGGATTCCCTAGAAGAAAAGAGGACATTTTGATTAGTGTTAAGGAATTCTTGGATATTAACAAAAGAAAAACAATATTCAATAACAACTACCCTGGCAGAGGATGGTATCGAGCTTTTTTAAGACGTCATCCAGAAATAGTACCAAGAAAGCCTGAAGCTGTGACTAACGCCAGTTCTTGTGTTAGTGAATCAAACATAAGAAATTGGTTCGCCGAAATAGAAAGTGTTCTAAAAGAAGAGGGTTGTTTTGAAGTACTGAAGGATCCTGAACGTGTATTCAATGGGGACGAAACAAATTTTGTGTTGTGTCCAAAAAATTCAACAGTTCTAGCTCCTAAGGGTACAGAAAACGTTTATGAAATAGAACAAGGTAAATCCAAGTCCGCTGTGACTGTTATGTTTACTTTTTCTGCATCAGGGAAGGTAGTGCCTCCAATGATCATATATCCATACAAGAGGATTCCTACAGATATTGTTCGATCTGTCCCAAATCACTGGGGGATCGGCCATAGTGATAGTGGCTGGATGAAGGCCGAGGTATTCTTCGAATACATAGGAAATGTATTCAACCACTATTTGATTAAGGAAAAGGTAAAGTTACCTGTAATTTTATTTGTGGATGGACATAAAACCCATCTCACTTATCAATTGAGCCAGCTCTGTACAGAACTGAAAATTGTAGTGGTTGCCCTATATCCAAATGCGACGAGGATTCTTCAACCAGCTGATGTTGCTGCTTTTAGGCCTATCAAATATCATTGGAAGCAGGGTGTCATGGAGTGGCGCAGAACTCACCCGAATGATGCCATAACCAAATTAAATGTTGCTCCAATCTTGAAAGATGTCATACCCACTGTGAAACCCAAGACACTTGAAAATGGATTTAAAGCCTGTGGCCTGTGTCCATGGGATGTAAACAAGATCGATTTTTCTAAATGCTTGGGTAAAGATTCTGCTGTCCTGGGAACTACTGACTGTGACGATGATCTTGATTCTCCAACTATGACCAAGAGCTCATTTGAACTAATAATAGGAGACCAGATGTTGACTGAGTTCAAGAACATCGAGCGTGTAGTCCAAAATGAGCAGAAACCTAATGAGTTTTACCTTCTTTACAGACTATGGGAGGAATTTGAGAGAGGTAGGCCTAAAGCACATTCCATGAAGAATAGGCCTAAGTGTACTGAAAAGTCTACCCAGACAGAAGATATTTCTGAAATATCTATGCCTGCAGATTATAATATACAGTTGGAACATAACTATTCAACTCCAACAAAGGAGTTATTGGATCGGCCAAGCAAAAGTGTTGTTACGCCAGTAGCTCAAGGTGAGTCTACTCCTTTAACCCAAAGTAGTGCAAACACTTCAGTACTATCTGACGTTTTGACATGGCCAGAAACCCCTAAACGTAAAGGAACTAAAGTAATTGAAAGGGTGCCCTTTGTAGTAACTTCCAAGAAATGGAAGGAGCTTTTTACAGAGAAGGAAAAAAAGAAGAAACAAGAAGATTTAGCCAAAGCTGAGCGAAAGAGAAAAAGAGAAGAAGCAAGGAAGAAAACAGAAGAAAACAAAATGTCAAAAAAATTGAAGAAAGAAAATCAAATGGTTAAAACGAGCAAACAAAAAAATGCTATTGCCATAAAGAAACCTAGGCCTAATGTTGGTTTCAGTGTTGGAAGTGAAAAAACAGATGAGTCTAATAGTGCAAAAAAAGAAAGGCAAAAAGTGTTAACTATGAAGGACATTAAATTGTTAAAGAATAAAAATTATAAATCGGAAATGTTAAAGAAGTTTGAAGAACAATGCAGTTCTGAACATGATGACAAAAAACAAGCCAGTCCTGCACTTGTTGATAAAGTTACCCCTACATCCAGCTTGGGAAAGAAAAGTGTTAAAACACATGTTTCTGGACTCTGTTACTCTTGCGGGCGTGGTTTTAAAGCTAATGACGAAGCTGCAGAGTGTGATTTGTGTGACAAGGTTTACCATGTGACATGTGTTGTCAGTGAAAGTGGTCTAATTGACAAAAATGACCCTGTGTTTATCTGTCAGCCTTGTTTGAAATTTGGTGATGACATTTTAAACGATTTAGGCTCGAATTTTTAATTTTTTTAGGTGGGATTTAGCCTACACTGAAACTGAACTTTCTTGTTTTATATACAAGCGGTTTATATACAAACGAACAAGAACAGTATTTTATTCCTGTTTGACAAACGAACAAGAACAGTATTTTATTCCTGTTTTTTCGATACTTTTTTTGATATTTTATGACATACAAATACATTTTTATGACTATTTGTTATGTATTTTCATTCACTTCTTACTTATTTCCTTTCAGGTAATTTTAGAAATTAGTCATAATGCTAGAAATACACAAATAACTAGGAATATACATAAAAATATTCAGTGCCAACTACTGTGCCCCTAGGGTGCCAATGACTATGAAATGTGTGCCAACAACTGTGCCCTATGTACATTTTTTTTAAATTTGTTATAAAAAATAGATGTAACACAAGAAAAGAAAATACAATAATTCCTATAGAATTTTAAACCTTCAAACAATGTATTCAACAACTTAAATCACCAAAATTCTGATTCCACTGTAAACGGTTAAACTTTAAACAGAAAATTTGTCTTAAGGTGCCAACAACTGTACCATTCACCCTATTATATTCATTTTTTTATTCTAGGCCTAAATGTAAATAATTAAATAAAAGGTTAACAAAATAAAATAATTTTAGTATTGTTTTCGTATTGAAATCAATAAACCATTCATATTTCTTGTTCAGTAGTCAGAAACAAGGTTACTATTCCGGCCATGAGGAAGATATATAACATAATTACGTGAATTCGTCAATCAACTGCGGGTTACCACTGCATTTTGCCGCTCCTGGACTTCAACCGGCGTAAGAATAAGCTACATTTTACTGCGTGAAAAAAACGCACGTGTGGCATACAACAGCGGGAATTCAAGCAGCGTGAAAATAAGCTACATTTTACTGCGTGAAAAACGCCCATGTGGCCGTAGCCTTAGGCAAAACGTATTATTTTAACAAATACTAAGGACTCTATATTAAAGCTATTTCGATGGCTCTTATTGATACCATAACAAATTAAAAAATATATCAAAACAAGGTTCCATAACTAGTTATAAACGTCCTTGAATCGGACAGCACCAACTAGTTTATAAAAACATTTATACAAAATTTCAAACTCTTATATAAAACCATTATTATAAATAAACATAAACAAGAGAATAAAATTATAGTGTTGAGCCTTATACTATGGACGGACTATTAACAGGTACCTGGTACCGGTACATATACTAAATGCAAAATATTTTCTTTTGTGGAATATTTGTACAGTTAACTTTTTCGTAAAGGAGTATAAGAAGGATGTTTTTTACATCAACAGTTTTCTCCCGTGTTCATCCATGCTGCAATAATGGCTGATTTTAAACTCTCAATTTAATAATTTGTGTAGTAGGCTACATAATTTTGCCAAATGGTTGAAACCACATGCATAACATAAGCCTTAGTTTTTATTTTTTATTTTTATTTATTTATTTTTTTAGCAGCTATTCAGCTGCTACTTTCATACTTTTTTCAGAATCGGATGGCCTTGTTACTATTTAACGATTACTAATATTGACTTCAATGGTCTAGTGGTAGAGCACAGGGCCTAGGCCTGAGGTCCTAGGTTCAAATCCTGCCAATCACCAATGAATTTTATCCATATGATAATGCCGCAACCCACTAGAACTAGCCTGAAGTAACGTGTAAAACAATTCCGAGCTAGAACTAGCGTCCTAGAATGTGACGGTGGGACATAAAAAAAAATGTAAAAAGTACAATTCAACGTTGACTTTTAGTTAGATAGCATCATTAATTCATAGCCCAATGACAAATTACATCTGGGTGCAAAATAAAATTTGCTCGGGTTTGAACCTACAACCTCTAGATTTGAGGGCAAGCACTATTACCACTCAACTTCGTAGACAAGTTGAGAGGACGTCATTTAACACATCGGTGATGGGTTTTGATATCCATCTGGCTTATTAGTCAGCTAGAAAACTTGGGTTAACCTTAGTTAAAGTGGTTGATTATTCTTTAAAACTTGGGTATTCTCAACCGGAAGCACTCAAAGCTAGTCTGCAGGCAATTTCTACCATATTCTGTGGCGAGGAGTCTTGGAAACAGATGTAAACTTCTCGGGGCTGAGGCATGAAAAACAACCGCCTGAAAACCAATCACCAAATTAGATACGGTAGAATAGGTTTTTGCCCTCATTAGAACACAAAAGACTTAAGTAAAAATGTTGCGCTTAGAGTTGGTTAGATAGTAAAAACATCATTTATTGTTTTTGTAAGCCAAACCCGTGGTTGACAGAGGAGGGGAGTTGAAATTAATCAGCTGTTGAGAGAAATAAAAATAAATATCTTTATCAATCCTAGTTGTTCTGCCCGTGCCTCGCCACGGGGAGAGAACGCAGACAAGATATGGCGGTTCTTCACTACCTTGTCCAATGCAAACTGCTGGATTATCAGGCGTGAATAAGACAAAAACCATTCAAAGTGTTTATGAAACGATTTTATTTTTTTTTAAGTGTTTAGTCACATGATAATCAGATGGGAAGTTAGTTGTGCATAAGGACTTTTAGGAGACAGACAAACATCTATGAATATATTAATTATGTATGTAAGCCGATTCTTTGCGTCAAAATTTTGGGTGACTGGGACGTCATAGAATGACGGGAGAGGGCTCAAATTATAGGTCTCAATCCCTTGACGGCGGGAAAAATAGTGAAATTCCCTAAATTTTAACACGAAATTAGATATAACGTTAAATGTTCTCCATAAGAATAGCATTAGAAGCTATTTACTGCTGATTTTTGTTTACTTCAATACAGCTGATCGTGATTTATCATTAGCCAGTAGGCAATATTAGATTTGGATTACTCATTTGCCAGTCAAATCTGCAATGTAATGTATACTATATAAAATCAGGGATAACGTTACCTATAATAATTAAGACTTCTTAGTTACTCTTAGAAAGTTGAAAACAATTTATTGTTTTACTGCAATTTGCAAACTTGTGTATTTTTAAGTAAATTAGTAAAGCGTATGATAAGTAGTAGAATCATAGGAGATGGCTCAAATCAAAGGAATTAAACTTAGAATGGCTGAATAATAATGACGTTTTCGTCTAATTTGAAGGTTATTTTTGTGTTGAGGGAATGTTTAACGTGAAATAACCACATTGACTAAATATTAAACGATTCAAAATTAAATTGAAAACTCCTACTTTGTTTTGATTTCAAAACATATGTTAAGGATTTATTGTACACTTTTTATGTAAATTTAACTAACATTTATATTTTAGTGTATAGTAGTGTTTAATCAATATTGTATCAAGTGGAATAACCTCAACGGCCACTGTAAGAGAACAATTTGTGAATAAAGATGAAATAGGTTCGTAGATGTATTTGTTCATTAAGTAAGTACTGTACTATGACAAGTTCCAATGAGCGGAAAAATAATTTTGTTTGGAGGAGATTTTAACCTTTTTTGCTTCAAGCAAAAAATGTTAAAATAATATAGCCTAAGCCTAGAATGCACGGTAGTAGGGAGCATCCATATCTAACAGTAAAACCTAGAGTTAGTTAGTTTCCGTTTCTTAAAACTAACCAAAAATATGCATGTCGAAGATGCTGATGAAAAGTAATTTCGTGATTGGTTTCGATAACTGGGTAAAATGGAACCTAACAAACCCCCAACCAGTCGGTAAATAACCAGTCGGTTAGGTTGGACCCTAACCGGTCGCAAAATAGTTAGTAATCAGGCATTGGTTAGGTCCTTTTTTGATAGAATATGTAAAGTCAACCGCACATTTAGGAGGAATACCACCACATAAACTTACTCTAGGCTAATAGTAGTTTTTTAGATGTTGATCAGAAACAAATGTAGGGTTAAGTTTGGTCAATGGGATGCCTCTACTTTATACTAATTTTTGTTAAACCTTTACAAAAGGAGCATAAACTTAGAAATAATAACTGGGTCGGGGTGTTAATTTAGCGGTTGAAAAAAATTTCAACAAAGCAAGACAAACAACAAACTGATTTTTTACGCAAAAGATATGTTGTACTGGGATATCTATGCATAAACATAGATAATTTGATTCTGAGTTTGTTTAAAATATTACGACAATTTGTTTAACATTTGAGCTTTTTGGGGGCCACTAGTTCCATTTTAAATATTACAGACGACAAAATTACAGCGATGTTGAAAAAAAATTATGCTTACCCTACAATCCAATAAGTGAGTGGTTTTGACTTCTTTCCAGAGTCAGTTTTGGCGGGAGGACACTCAAACAGCATTGCATGTTCTTTGTTAGCAATCAATGTTTTATTGATCAAGCACTCCGATACTTCTTGAACTTTCAGCTTCTGTAAAAAAAGGGGGTTGTTAATGAACCAATAATCATTCAATAAATCAACAAAACTTGAATGGAGGTTCTGAGATACAATAAAATAAAATAAGTCATTGAGGTTTAGAGAAAAATGTGTTATTAGGTTATTTTGATGGAAACATTTTGTTATAGAGGTTAATTTAGCATTGGTTATGTCGTTTTCAAGGGGTTTAAAAAAATGTACTTATGAAAGCTGGGCCGTGTAAACAAGGTAGTAAAAATTTTGATGTTTTATAGGTTCTTTCATCAACCTCTTCAAATTTAAGACGACAAGCCAGAAATTTTGTTCATGAAACTAACTTAACATGAACTAATTGATTAAATGACATTCAATAGCCATTTTTAGACAATGCAATAAATTAACCCCAATTGTTAATTTTCCAAAAAGTTAAGACATTCACCTTAAACCGCACAGTATTCTGTAGCAGCTCGTGTATAAGGGGAGCCAGGGTGCGGAAGTTGTGAAGAATGTGCCTCAGTTGCCCAGACGCTGTGAGCGTAGGGTTGCTGAGAATCACCCCCTCAGCACAGTCCAGATGTACGTAGCAGAACAATGGGTTCTGATCTCCAGCGGTCAATCTGTACAGCACAGAAAGGGAGAATTATAAACAAAGCAGTGGTAACAAAAACAGAGTTTGGGCCGTTTCCTTGAGAAAAAATGTTAATGGCATTCAAACTTGTACACAAAAATTACAGTAAACCCGTACGGCATGTTTGACCCACATTTTAAGACAAAGATAATTGAATTATGCATGTCGAATGAATGGAGATGACAGCTTTGTTTCTGAATAAAAGATTGGTTCTTTGGCCAGGGTCATTTATTCAAAGCCTAGTAAAATTATCACAGACAGCTGGGTCCATTTTCATTTTCGAACAATAAATAGCTAATTTTTTTAGGATTTAACATTAAACCTTCTGTCTACTAGGCGAGCACTATCACCATTCAACTATCCAACTACCTATAGTCCTCTTAAAACTCTCTTTGGACATTGTCATTTGCCAAACGCACTCCCAAAGACTTATTCAGTGCTAAAAAACACACTTCGAGCAATGCTATATTAATGAATATGCCAGATATTAAGAAAACACAGGTTTCTATAGCCTACTGTCTTCAAAACTCACATGCAAATTGGAGGTGTTGAAAGAAAATCAGCTAATAAGGTATTTAAAAAACTGTACGAATTCCTCTAATATAAATTTAAGAGAGTTGAAAGCTTAAGAGCAGTTTCAGATTAAAGTTTTGATAAAAGAACAGGAAAAATAATTACTACCCTCACATAATGTCAGTAATAATTTGATGAGGCAAGGATAAACATGATAACATTTTGAATATCATCCCTCGGTTTTGTTGTTGTTTTTTATTCTTGAAAACAATCCTGCATGATGGTTTTCCAAACTATACCTCACTTTTCTAATTGAAAAAATATCAAGTATAACATTGATTTACCTCATGGGTAAGGAGTATTCAACATCAGACAGTAGATTCCTTCCAATTTCCGAGAGATCAAACAATCTACTCCCGGCTCCACTCTGGAAAACAATTCTTTTTAGTAAAAATAATAACGAGATTTTCATAATGAAAACACCAACAATTGATAGAGCAACATGCCCTTGTTCATATTCTTGTAGTGATCCCCAAATTATTGACAAAAATATTTATAAACTGATAAAAGTACAAAAACACATTTTAAATAGTGATTGAACATATTTTAAGGAGACGACCTATTTAGGAATTTGTTTCAGCACAGCAGTTTTTTGAAGGTTTTTGAGAAAGTGATTAATTTTTTAGGTAGGCTTTAGCCCGGTTTGTTTTTAGTTTTTACATTTCTTCAGGCTAGGCCTAGACAGTTGAAGCATGATCACTTTGATAAAATCAATTGGTGATTGGTGAAATTTGAACCCGGGACCTCAGGGACCAAAGTCCCACATTCTAACACTACACCAGCTTGCTTCTATTGAAGTGAATTTTTTTTTGTCCTAGGAAAAATATGGTTTGAAAACTAAATTTTCCAAGCTATTTAATTATCTAAACTTAAGAAAAAAAAAAATAAATTCCAAGTACAAAGTATAAATAAACTCGCAAGTATTTACATTTAGCGACGTCCATTCGTCAAGGTCGTCGGAGAAATCAGAGTCGGAGAGGATGGAGTCAGTGGCTCGTTCTCTCTCAGCCCTTCGTCCAAGTATTGGAGCAGCTTCGTCACTTACTACACTTGACGCGGCCTGACTTGTCGAGTCTTCTGATGTCTCGTACATGTCACGACCTGCCCAATACGGATGAATTTGTAACAAAGAAGAAAATAAAAAAATCCTGCATATTGCTTTGGATCAAACAAGCAAACTAAACAATCTTTAAAATGTTATAAATCATGAATAAAGTATTTCCAATTCTGAACCTTCATAGGCAAGCTCTATATCCACTCACCCACTCCTAGAAGACAATGATCACTGAATTAAATCATAGATAGATCATAGATCACTGGATCAACTGATGAATAAAGCCTTTTTTTTTAAATGGCTTTAGGCCCTGGTTTTAAAGGATTTTGTGGTGGATCGGTTTTAACAGAAGGCCAAAGAAGGTATGCAGAAGGCAGGAATGTTTTACCTTACTGAAGAAAGTAGATGAAAATTTGCAAATAAACATATAGAATTTTCCGGGCTAGTGTTTATGCATTAATTTGTGAATTTTCACCTACTTTCGTCAGTAAGTAATCCTTAAAAATCATCTAAATTTAGTTTTGCTAGATACTCAATTTGCATCAACAACAAAAATACACAATGAAAATGTTGGGCTTTAAGTACAATTATATTTTGTCATCCTGTTGCTAATATTTTGAAGATCTCATTTGCGCATGGAAGAAAATAGTTTGTTGTCCCTGAATGAATGAATAGTTTAGATTAGATAAAGTGTTATTTTTATGACTTCTTACCTGTACTAAGGCTATCATCTGGACTAATTCTGTGCTTCAGGATGGAAGTCACTTCTTGTGGTTTTTTAGAGGTGCTTGGACCTTAAACATAAAACCTCTAGATAACACAGTTATTGTATAAAACATGTACATTAGAAATTAAGATATTATTGCCAAATAAATGGTAATTTAATAAAATAGGTAATATTGTTTAAGTTTAAAGTTTGCAGTGTTACTCGGAACAGTAATACAGAAATCTGATATACTGTGAAAAATTTTTTTTTAAATACAGTAGAATGGTAACACAACCGATTGTCAAATCTAGGTCTTCGGGTGATGATTGCATTGTTGAAAGAGTGAAACTAGAGGCCAACGTTTTGGATAGAAGATGTATAGCTGCTATGCATATCGAACGTCGGCCTCTAGTCTCTCTTTCAACGACACGGTCATCACCCGAATACCTAAATTTGACAATCTGCCATAACCGTTGTAGCGTATCATCTAGAATAACACAACCGGTTTAAGCTTACTTGGTGTAGATTTTGGTGAGAACTCTGCAGTAGTACTTACTTACTTACTTGGATACTTGGAGAATTCCCACTGGTATCGCATCAGCGACGTGGTCGTCAGGTTTTTTTACTTTTCTTGCTTTTAATTAATATAAAATTGATTCATTTCCTCTTCAGGGATGCACATGGCCTAGACATATATTTCATCAACACTGTAGTAGGCCGCTTGACTTAAAAATGTTTTTAGCAGGTTTTTGAATTTGTTGATAGAAGGCTCTTGTGTGATGTACTGAGGCAATTTGTTGTAAATCTTTATACTATTGAAGTAAGGGCTCTTGCTTGCAAGGGTGGAATTTACTTGTGGTACATGAGGATTTGTTGCTCTTCTTGTATTGTAATTGTGGACCATGCTGTTAGTTACAAAAATATTAGGATTCTTCTTAACGAGCAATGCAGATTCCAATATAAAGAGAGACGGAAGTGTGAGTATGTTCAGTTCTTGGAACAGAGGTTTACAGTGTGTCCGTCTATGGACTCCACATATTCTTCTAATTGCACGTTTTTGAAGGATGAAGATACGTTTTGCCTCACTACAACTACCCCAAAATACCAAACCATATGAAACTATGCTATGAAAGCAGCCATAGTAAACCTTAAGGAGAATCTCGATGTCAACCAGCTTTTGTAGTCTAAACAGCAGGTAGGTGACAGATGACAGTCTGGGCGCTATTGCATCGACATGCGTTCCCCAATTTAGGTTCTCCGTAATGTGTAGACCCAAGTATTTGGTTTCACTACAGGTTTCAAGAGGTACCCCGTCCAAGGTCAATATCGGAGGTGGTTCAGGCTTCTTCCTGTTATAAAACTCCATTAATTTGGTTTTACCAGAATTTAGGACCAGATGATTTTTGCTACACCAAGTTGACATTTCAAGTAAGCCAGTTTGGGTGTTTTCAATTGTGATATTTCGATTTGGGCTTGGGACTAGGTGACAGGCGTCATCAGCAAAAAGCCATAAATTTCCAGAAGATATGGAGCCAGGCAAGTCATTCACGTATAACAGGAATAGGATGGGCCCAAGGTTTGATCCCTGGGGGACACCGATGTTCAGAGCTGGTGAAGGAGACGATTTATATGTCCGGAGGATGTTGTCAGGGCCTCTGTGCTTCAAGGATACAATCATGTGTCGATCTTTAAGATAGGATGAAATCCATCGCAGTGGGTTTCCAGAAATGCCAAGTATTCGCAGCTTATCCAGAAGGATCCCATGGTCAAGAAGATCAAAAGCCTTTGTCATGTCGTAAAAGAGACATAGTAAGCTGTCAGAAATGTCAAGGTGGTTATATACTTCCTTTAATAGGGCGAAAATGGCATCACAGGTAGACATGTTTTTTCTGAACCCAAATTGGTTTTTTGACAAGATGTTATTTGTTTCAATAAAACTTAGCAGTCTTTTAAGAAAAATAATCTCAAAGATTTTACCAAAACAGGGCTGGACAGAAATAGGCCGGTAGTTACTTGCGTTAAGAGGATCATTCTTCTTAAATACAGGGACAACTTTTGAAGTTTTCAACGAATCAGGAAAGCAACCAGTTTCAAACGACTTGTTAATAGCGCAGGCCAATGCTTCAAAGATGTTTTCATTGCAAAGTTTGAGAAGGCTGCATGGGACTTCATCAATGCCAGAACTTTTTTTAGATCCTATTAATAAGACTACTTCACGAACCTCGGAGGCAGAAGTAAGAGACAGTACAAAGCGACTCGCTTCGAGATCAGTGGGTAACACAGGGGCTACATTATCTTTAGCCAATGTACATATTTCCTGTATTTGTATTTGTTGAATTTTCACCAGAAGTGTTGAGTGAGGGTTTGGTTTGTGAATCTGGACACATGGTTGGAAGCCGGCAGTGATTTTGGATCCTAAACCAGAATAAAATATTAACAAGACAAATAAAAACAGGAAATGTGCTCCAGAAGACTGAAATTAGTCAGTAAAAAGCAATCAAAACACAAATCATGTTTTTAAAACACTGTCATCCTTCAAATTAACTGTAAATGGCATGACATTTTGTGAGCGTTGTAGTAAATTAATTAACTTTGTATCTAACCAACAAATGGTTTAAGCGCAAGGCTGAGAGTAATACTAAAAAAAACTTTTCAGCAAAAAAAATTACGTTTGCTCTCCAACGGGTTTTATTAGAAAACTTAATGAACTTCTTCTGCGCAATCCACTGCTTAGACAAATTTTAGCTCAAACATCAATGACAAATGGGTAAAGTTTTAAACGTCAAACAATTTCAACTTGAGTCAAGATTGAACCAGCAAACGTCTTTCCACAGAAGGATTATGGATTCTAACTCACAATAAGATTAATTGTAGACGGACAATTTTACCTATTAACATACCATTTGTCAGCCAGGGATAAAACTTGGATCTCTCGAACATGATGTAAAGTTGCCTGAGCTTGTTTAACATATACCGGCTCTGGCCCGGGATTTCCTTCAATCCTGAAAGATAAGAGCAGAAAACATATTTACTATTCTTGATGAAAAATGTATATTAACTAAAATAGCAGCGTTTATTAGCATTTTGCCTCCAATCTTAAATGTTCTGGAAGAAAATCTGAACGGAAAAACAGCAATTAAAGAAGAAACTGTATCGGAAGTGATGGATAATTTTGAGAAAAATTTCTGATGTGAATCTTTAAGGAGGTACATCTTCTAAAATAGTTTTTCTTGTTTTTTTGTTTATTTTTTGTAATTAGATCCTTAGAAGCATCCATTATCATAAGGTAATAAAAATTGGTAAAAATTATTGGCGTTAAATTTATTTTAAAACTTTTGTGACATCTAGTACTTACTTTACCGTGCAGCCTCCAGATTCCAACAGTAAGGCTAACAGACAGTCTTCCTACAAACCAAAAAATATTTATTAATTTTTAAAACTCTTTTTTCTTGTAAAATCTTAACTTTAACTATTCCAGTTCCAGATACAGTGATATCAGTCATCAAATTAACTTCTAAAGAATTGGTGTAAATACTTGCATTTATGGGATGAAATGTGTTGCTAAATTGCAACAGGTTTCGACTCAAATAGGAGTCATCGTCGGGCTAGTACAGATGTCTTCTTGCTTCATTCGAAGCAATTTTTAAGGTTAAAAATGAAGGGTAATTCTTATAGAAGAGTTATAGACATAACTCCCACCCAATTACTTCGTGTCCCATGCCATTGCAGTATTACCCCTTGTTTTTAACCCAAAATTTCAAATGAAGCGAGAACACACCTGTACAGGCCCGGCAATGACTCCTATGTGAATCGGAACCGGTTGCAATTTAGCAACACATTTGATCTCATAAATGAAGATATTTACACCAATTCTTTAGTATTTAAATGCAATCAGGAGGCTAAAATTCTATTGCCAAATTAACACACTATTTCATACAGCTTTATCCGTGGGAGTATACCCCAACATAAAAAACCACAGCCAAAGTATATGGCGTGTGCTGCAACCTGTAAGTCAAGTTTATAACTACAACACTTGGGCTTTGGGCTATATTGTTAATTTTGTATATTGTTTTGCCTAATTTTAAAAATCAGTAGAAATCGGTGGAAACAGGATGGGTAGGCCTAGATTATTATTATGTGAGCTGCACCTTGGAATCAAAAAACTTTACTACTTATACTCAACCTAATTATGTGCGAGTTCACAAAAATCATGTTTAAAAGAATTCAAACTTAAGTGTTCAAAAGTTCAAATAATGAAGGATTATTACAAGAATGGGCATGGTGAAATCAATAATTAATCTATTACTGTAGGTTCAAAGGAATGAATTCTTGTCTATTTAAAGTTTTTTTTTTTTTTTGTTTTTTTTGCTTTGTTTGAGACAAGATTACAATCATTCTTTCTCTACATACCTGACCAACCACCAGCAGGAACCAGCGACCCTGTGGCAGGAAGTACGTGAGGGTGACAGCCGGCTGCCCTCTGTTGCATGAAGCCGGGAAAACTTCTCTCCACATAACAAGGTTACGAACACTTTCCGATCGCGAAAGTAACAAAAGTCCGTTGTGACGACACCAAGCATTCACATCCACTAGGTCTTCTCTATTGAAATGAGAGGCTAGAAGATATCCCTGCAAATTCAAAATGTTTAGATACCGTAATATTAACGATTCACATTTTTTGTTTAGAGTAATCAAATCATATAAGTCGATGTAACTAACCTTATAAAACAGACAGGAGCCGATGATTGAGTAAAGCCTCTGGCAGTCGTCTTCATCGTTCTGGAAAAATAGAATCATTACATGTTTACTACAAGAACAAACACATGTAGCAATGTGTAGTTGAAAATCCATGTAATGATGGTCTTTTTCAATTCATTAAAATCTATTAACAAAAAACTATTATCAGAAACATTTGTCCTACTGTTGCAAAATAAAATCTATCTAACCCAAAATTTACTTACCAATCTATTTATGGTCATACAGTAAACCTTCATGAATCCTCCTAACTAATCCAGGTTCCTAGTCATCAGCATTAATGAAATATGGATGAAAATTAAAAATCTTAAATGATGAAGTGCTTTCTAGGATAGCTTGTACTTCATCATTACTAAGTGATGGGTGGAACTAGCTCAAGCCAACATGATTGCTTCAAATAGTCTAGTCACCCACTAAGAATAATGTCTGTAAGCACATTTTTAATTTAGCTGCATTAAATTATTAAACACTACTGTGAAATTGCTGTCGGGATTAGGCATAGCTGATTTTATTTGGTCTGAATTTATTATGGTTTAGTTTCCTACAGTAACTTATATTTTTAATTTAACAGTTGTGTACCTAAGGTATGTTAATGCTAAGTTTTTCCCATGGTTCAACATAAACGTATCACATATTTTTTCTTTCAAAATAAACATATTGGATTATTTTTCACAATTTTTTTATTAGGTAACTAAGTCTAAACCATACTTACATATCCTCCAAAATCATTGGACTCAAGTTCACTTAGGGCATCATCAATTTGAACCTGTCCACAAAATTCAACTTCAATTAATGTTACAAATAAAATGTAAACAGTACAAGTGAAAAAGTATTTAATTGCCCCAAAACATTACAACTTAAATTTATTGAATTCGTTGATTTTCAGCATAAAAAATATCTGTTGATGTATAGGATAAGTAAGCAAAATTTGTAACTATTATCGGTATTGACTTTTGTACAGCAATAATGTTGTTTTTATACTTAATTTTAAAGGCTAGTATTTTAACCGAGTAATTAAATACTCAAAACAAATAAAAATTTAAATGCCACTACACTCACCCATTTCTAAAAACGTTTAGATTATGCTTCATAGCTAATAATCCTCTACAGCTTTTCTCAACCCAAATACACAAGCAGCAAAAAATTTATACCTGAGCGTCTCTTGGCAAGGCTATGAAATGAGCCGCTGGCAAGAAATCGAGAAACCTTTGAATATTTATCAAGGAAGAGCTGAGAAACTGGGCTTGCAACAGGGAGAAAACTCTGTCTAGGGCTGCATGGTGTTCTTTGAGAGAAAAACATCTGTAAACATAGAGCAAGAACAATCTATGATAACATGTGTAAAGTTAAACATGAAGTTTAAATATTACAATTACTCCCATTCAATGTTTCATTGGCCAAATAGTTTTATGGACGGATTTTATTCTTCCGCCAGACTACTTTTCACATCATTCGAAGATGTACGAGTAACGCTTAAATTTTATCAACTGTTTTATCTCTTATATTTGATTTATGTTCTACATAATGTATGCTTTAGGCTGACAAAGTGTCAAAGACCATGTGTTTCACTTAGAGAGAGGTTCAATGCTCTCCTATGTTCCTATGTTTCAGATATCCCTCAACAAAACTCTTAAAATTAAGTGAAGTTAAAAAACATTTAAAATAAATCTATACATTAGTAAATTTCCCAAGCAAGTAGGCATCACATGTGACTTAGCATGTTTCACAAATTAAACGTACGCAAAAGTAAACTTACCTCGATAAAGATTGATAAGTAAACTTTAAACATCGGACAATGTCGGTGTTCAACAAAATAGCTTCCTTTAATGAGCACCTGTTGAGAACAAACATTCAATATAGCTTTTGATGACAGAATTTACATCTTAAGCCAAATAACCTACAACTAAATTATTTACAGAAATTCTAGAAACATTCACTGGTAAAGAAATATAAAATAGTGCTCTCTCCTAACTAAAAATTAAAAATGTTTTCCATTAGGACACAGCAGTAACAATATTTTGAATTATTTTACATTTTATCAAATATCAGTTTCAATTTACAACTGTAATCCATGGTACAAATTTTTAACTAGAAAATAGGTTTATCAACAAAGCATGGAAATTGTTACTCGTCACTATCCTTATTTTGATTTGTAATTATTTTTTTTTCCTGGCAGTACTCTACATCAAGAATTTACAAAATTAGAAACAATCAATCTACAACTTTCACTACCGGTACCAATTGTCTTATAAAATAAATGAAGGTTGGAGACGGGCAATGTGTAACTAACGAGTAGTGATCTTTGAGTTTCAAGCAGATTGAATCTCAAAACTCGCCAATTGAATCTTAAACTGAAACCTTTTTGTTTTACAGATTTGGTTTTGACATATCACAAATAACCAGTGGTTTAATTTGCATACTAATGAATTGATTTATTGATTGTTGATTTGAATAATAGTTTATAAATAAGATCAGGAAATGAAGATTATTATAGATAAAATGTAAGGATAGGCGGATGGATTTGTACATATTGTGATAATTAAAATAACTAAAAATGTACTGATAGACAGGTTAATGGAAAGGTGTGCTGAAGAACTAATAGTTTTGTGGATTATTGATAAAAATGTTATTTCACCTTGAGTCTGGAATGGCTAGCAACAACAACTCCTTGTTCTCCGCAGTGTAAATGACATGAGCCAGCTGACCTTTGTGAACTATTGTGGTGCTGAAAAGTCAAAAATCAATAATTTATTTTCACATTACACAGAACAAGCAAAGCTGGAAACAGGTAAAATAGTCAAACATTTAAAATAAATAGGAACTAAAATAAAAAAATGATAAGATAGCCATGGTAGAGGTAGATATGTGAATACACAATTAAAAAATGTATAACTTTACATTTGATCAAAAATCAGTTTTGTTGCTTCTTGAATTAACTGTTCAAAAATTTCAACTGACTAGAGACAATCAGGCAGTTTATTATACATTTTCCCTAGATAAGAGGAAGAGTTTCAAGTTTGGAGAGCCTGCTATTGAAGTCTTCTGGAGTCGTAGCAAAATTCTGATCATCATCCCCTCAGTCACGTAGACATCATCATCGTATCCCAAAATCGCGACAAAATCATGAACATATCCCTTGAGCATGTGACATTATTATCCTCTGCTGCAATCACTGCTAAATTCTGATCATGTCCCACAGTCGTGTAGACATAGTCATCGTTTCCCGCAGTTGTGTAGACATCTTCATTTTCTCCTGCAGTCGCGGCACAATTGAGTATTCTCCGCGGTAACATGGTTGTAAAGCTAAAATTGTATATTGCTTTGCTACATACAAATTACATAGTGGTTGTGAATTAACAAATAAGGTCCCTATTTTGTTTCAAACTCCTGGTCCTAAGGTGGCTTGAACGAGATGAATTAATTTTATAATTTTAAGACACATAATAAACCAACCTAGTGACAGGTGACGGAATGAGTTGTCCAGCCATATGTGCTATGGTAAGGAACACTCCTCGAGCAGCTGCTAATGTGTTTTGGCGGGGGTAGCAGTACACCACCCCCTGGACTAGTCTCCGTTACCCCCTCCTGTGTTGCATACACCACCCAGAAAGGCAGTTCCTCCCCCGCCCTCTCCACCGTACCCGACACTATCTGCTTCACCAGCGGCGACTGCTCGACGGTGACCTAAAAGCAAATTTTTTAAGAGGAAAAATTACTGATTTCTGCTAAATACGCTAACTTGTTAACCAAGCCAAACTGATAAGACAGCTTATCGTAAACTATAGCATTTTATAAGTCGTAATAAGTTTGGTTGTATGTGATTATAAAACTATAATCGATTAAATAATATAATCAAACTTTCATGTCAATTTTATTAATTATATAAGTATCGCATCTTATATCTTTTTACAATAATAATGACGATGTCAATTACAATAATGTAGGGCCTATTGTTTAAAGACTGAATAAATGACTATTCAATGACTATACCTTATCTGGCTGTGAGACGGGTACTTGAGTGATATCGCATTCAGCGACTCTTTGTAACTGCAGTGTCACCTAAAAAAAGTATCATCAGTTTTATTTCTGTGAATTTTGTTATTAAAATAGTTCAAAATACCCCCACCGCAGCAAACCTGCAGACTAAGCTAATTCCCATTTGCCTGATTGGATTTACAATGAAATATCTCCTAAAAAAATATCATATCTATTCCCTATCTAAATCGCATTAGCTTAACAAGTAACTTAGGTTTGCTGCAACAGGGAGGGTAAAAAGTGTGTTTTTTTATGTTAATAGGCCTAGTTTATTATAAAATAAATGCATTTTCCAAATCCATAAACAGTCAAACTACAACAGTTCATTTATTCTCCATTACAATTTTTGTTGTATTTTCTCTGTAAGCATTAGGCGAATGATAACACTTTAACATACTAAATTATTTGTGTTTTTTTAAGCTCTACAAAATGGTTGTAAAAGAAAATGCAAAATTTTATGTTTTACAGGTAAAAAGTGGAAAACCCCCATTTTTAACCCGTAAAACCCCCCATGAAGAACAACTTTCCTATAGCCCGATCATGCTGGTTCGCGTACTCGTTCGAATAAATGTAGGTTTACATGTTTATACCAAATTGAATCAAAATCGGATAATTTTTGCTTAAATTATCGTGCTAACGGACACATATATATATGAATTTGAACGGATTGTGTTTTTGTCCTCTAAGGGACCTCAAAACAAAAAATTAAATTGGTCCTGAATAAGAATAAGAATAAGAATAAGAATAAGAATATCTTTATTGTCATTAAATACAAACAAAAGTACAATAGACAACGTCAAAATAAATACAAACTTTCTATGGATTAGGTCAATTGTGTTGAAAGAAAATAAGTTACAACAGGAATTGAAAAGGGAAAAAACAATGAACTATACATTAGGTATTTGGTATTCTAAAAATTCTTTTACTGAAAAAAAACTTCTGTCAAGAAGCCAAACAGCCAATTTATTTTTAAATTTATTAAAGCTAAGCTCTTGAAACGATACAGGTAGCTTATTAAAGATCTGTATTTGGAGGAATTTGTGGCTATTAGTTGATTTTGATAATCTTACTATCGGAATATCTAGGTGGTTACTTGTTCTAGTATTATAACTGTGAAATTCATTACGTTTTGGGAATGATGAAAGATTTTCTTTAACAAATAGCAAATTTTGAAAAATAAATATACACGGTAGAGTCATTATTCTGTGTTTGCTAAAAAAAGGTTTGCTGGTCGTTCTGCGTGGTATTTCAAAAATTATTCTCAGTGCTTTTTTCTGCCATGAGAAAACCTTTCTGGCTCCAGCGCTATTACCCCACAGAATGTTTCCATACAGAAGATGAGAGTGGAAGAAACTATAATAAGCAGTAATGAGCATACTATCCGAGACGCAACTCTTAAGTCTTCTCAACAAAAAGCAGACTCGGGAGATCTTAGACACAACATGCGTAGTGTGGCGTTGCCATGTAAGCTTTGCATCCAAATGTATGCCTAAAAGTTTCACTGTTGACGGGATATTTAAACCTTCAAAGTGTTTTAGCGAAAAGCAAATCCGCTCAGTTTTATCATGATTTAAGGTAAGAGAGTTTGCATTAAACCAATTAGAAGATAAAGTAATTGCGTTGTTGACTGTGGCTTCAGACTCAGTAAAACTACAACTTGAGGAAAATAAAGTGGTATCATCGGCATATAAGAGTGATTGGCAAGATAGGTTACTAGGTAAGTCGTTAATCATTAAGAGAAACAGAATAGGCCCCAACACTGACCCTTGAGGGACTCCCGCTAGAATTTCCTCAAACTCAGATGAGTCCTGCCCAACAACCACTTGTTGGAATCTGCCACATAGATAAGTATTGAAGAAATTTAGCTCATTTTTTTGGACTCCATAAAATTTTAATTTATGCAAAATAATTTGGTGTGACGTACTATCGAAAGCTTTACTGAGATCCATTAAAGCTACGTTAAGATATTTGTTGTCTTCAAAAGATTTTAATACCTCAGAAATTAATTTGTCAACTGCCTGTATTGTTGAAAAACCAGGTCTGAAACCGAATTGAGCTGGGCTCAGAATTTCGTGCTTATCAAGATGACTGTAGAGTTGAGATTTCACATGATGTTCAATTATCTTTGAAAAGATTGGAATTATAGAAATTGGTCTAAAATTATCAATAACTGTTCTGTCTCCCTTTTTATGAATTGGGTGTGTTTTGGAAAATTTTAGGCTATGGGGAAATGTACCTGAAAAAATAGACAAGTTTATGAGATAGACTAATGGTTCTAAAATGAAAGGGATGATTTCCTTTACGACATTATTTGACAAACCAAATATATCTTCGGATCGGGAGGTTTTTAATAATCTTACAATTGATAGCAATGACCGGTTATCTATTGGCTGAAGGTGGAACTCTTTGGTCACCGGCTTTACTTTTTGAAGAAAGTTGACAAAGTCACTATTGCAATTGGATGAATTAACTTTTTCGGCCACCCTTCTACCGATCTTAATGAAGTGATCATTAAACTCTTGAGCTGAAATTGGGGACTCGAGCTTCTGTGTTTTGTTAATGTTGGATTCAAATTTTATGAGCCGCCAAGCGGCAGCGCATTTATTTGGCACATTACTGACAAAACTATCGTTGTATTTGATTTTAGCCTTAATGATAGCTGACCTGTATTGTTTCTTAAAATTAAGATAAAGTGCTTTCAACTTATCGTTTCTATACTTGGGTATTTTTAACAAGTCATTTAATAAAATTACAGTGTTTCTCTGTTCTTTCAGACTGCTATCAAACCACGGCTTTGAGACTCTTTGACTTCCCGGTACACATTTTTTTGTTATTCTAGGGCAATAAAAGTTATACAATAAAAGGAGTTTATCCAGAAATAATTTAAACGCTAGGTTGACATCAGGAGTACAAAACAATTCATCCCATTCAGTATTGGCCAAAGAGCTTGCAAACAAATTGATCTGTTTTAGATTTCTATAGGAAATTTCATCTAACTTGCATTTTAGGGGATTTTGTAATATTAATTCAAACCAAATAATTGAGTGATCGGAAATAGTATGGGGCCAAATTCCTTGTTTAAATTGAGATTTATGACAATTAGTGGCTATGTTATCCAGACAACTCAGGTTTCTGGTAGGCTCCCTATTTATACAGTACAAATTGAATGACTTAAGGATATTGAGAAACATATTACTGGTAACATTCTCTTTAAGTATATCAATGTTGAAGTCACCCCCCAAAATCAATCGATAATTAGTTTTTTTCTTACACACATAATCAAGTAAGGCATCTAGTAAACTTAAGAAGCTATTAACATCGGAACTCGGATTTCTGTACAATGATATAACTACCACCTTATAATCTATAAGCTCAATACAAACTGCTTCCATTAATCCTACTTGTGTTAGGTGAGATACATCGATTTTGTTACATTTGAGATGTTTGAGAATAAAAATTGCTGAGCCTCCGTGTGGATCATTATTTCTACAATAAGCATCGGCCAGCTTAAACCCTTGGGGTGTATAAAACATTATCTCTTCATTATAACACCAGTGCTCGTTAACTAATACCACACTACACGCAAACTCATCCAACAATAAACCAAGCTCATCTACTTTGTTTCTGATGGACTGTAAATTGGTATGCATAAATCTCAAACATTTATTACCTTTATTTATTTTATCGTCAGTTTTTTTATAATTTACTTTGGTTTTTGTGCTGCTCTTTAAACCATCACAGTTTTCCGGAAATAGCTTTGTATTTTTAGTTTTTACGTTGTTTTTGTAGTTTAAGTTAGAAGATCTTAAGTTGTTCTGAGGAGCAAAACTACTTTTTTTGTCATTGTGCTTTAGTTTAAAGTTGGCGTGAGTGGGCTGAGCAGTGAATTACTTAATCTATGATTATGATTATTTCCAGACGCCACACCGTGCACACACATATCTGACAGAGAGCCATTTACATTCTTGGACACTGATGCGGTCGTAGGCACTTCACTGGCACTTATCTTCTGAAGATACGCTGGGTCTCGGTGACGGTCCACAGGCACAGCTTCCCTAGAGTTTCCATGTGATGCTGCATTTGAAGGTAGGACTGTCGACTGTGGCGAATTCTGGCTAGTGCTCATCCCTGCTCTTGGTGTGGATCCACTGCTTAATTCGGACGAAGATAATATGGGAGAAAGATCAACATCTTGACTATGGGGTTTGTAAGCAACTTTCTTCTGAATCAAACTATTCATCTGGCTTACAAAGTCGAGAAATTCCAGTCCATTTCTTAACGAACGCGTAGAACGCTCTTCATATGTTATGATCTTGATTGTAGCTGATGTAGACTCTTGGAATTGTATCAAATTCGTTATGAAAGTGTGTAGAGGTATATTGTCACGGACACATCCAAGTGGTGGACAAATCAGCCGCTTCAATTTCCTCTTCTGAAAATCTTCTACGAGCTG